TCTCACTCTGTTGCCCAGGCTAGCCTCAAACCCTGGGACTCAAGCAGTCCTCCCACCTCAGCCTCCCAGGTAGCTGGGACTTAAAGTGGTATTTTTTAATATTTATTGTAGGCTGTTAGGAGCCGTGTCTATGTAAGAGAGAGTAGATAGAGCCTTAACTGTGAAATACTAAGTATACTTTATAAGTTGATTTTTTTCATTTTTTCTTTTTTGTTTTTTTGAGACAGTCTCACTGTCACCCAGTGGCGCTCGCTGCAACCTCCGCCTCCCAGGTTCAAGCGATTCCCCTGCCTCAGCCTCGCGAGTCGCTGGGATTACAGATGTGTGCCACCACACCTGGCTAATTTTTTTGTATTTTAGTAGAGACGGAGTTTCACCATGTTGATCAGGCTGGTCTCGAACTCCTGACCTCAGGTGATCTGCCCGTCTCGGCCTCCCGTGCTAGGATTACAAGCGTGAGCCACCACGCTCAGCCAATATTTTTTCTTTTTAGAAACATTCATAATGCTGAGGTACTCCCCACTAAATAATTTTTTAAATGCCGGTTATGTTAACCATTTTTAGTATATTGTGTAAGTATAATGTAGTTACTCTATGGAAATCAAGCCTTATTCTCTTAATCAGTACTGCTTTTCAGCAATATTGAATACTGATATTTTGGGACTGTTATTAAGCCAGCTTTCTTTTAAATGTAATTAGGTATCTTAACATCCAGCTTGAAGATTTTTTTTTAATTTTTAATATAAATTTTCTTTCACGTCAGTCTTTCACTCATACATAATTATTTGAGTAAGAAAACAACTAAAATGCCACACTGGGTTAATAATATTTTCTGCAATTCCTTAATGCTGGTGTTTCTAGTGCAGCATAATTAAGGATTCAAACCACTTTTTAATAATGTGCTATAATTTTAGTTTGATAGGCTCACGCTTGGCAAATACCAATTAACAAATGGGCATTTTGACTTATTCCACTTTCTTCTTTGTGAGCCTGTTACCTCTCTTGTCTTTCCTCTACTTTCCTTTCCTTATTCTAAGACCTTTCTATAAGCCTATAGTAAAGTTATACAACTATCCCTTCTCCTAAACTATTGCCTTAACAAGAAATTTCAAAATTCTGAGCTGTGATGACTAGAGCTTGCTGAGTATTTGTTAATGAAGTAAGTCCTTTTCAAGGCACTGAAAATAGTTATCCTAGAGTTAGTCAGGGGTTGGATGGGGGGTGCTTAGGGCAATTAAGGGCAAGGGGAGAAAATGGCTTCGCTAGCCTATAGAACCTAAAGATGAAACAGAAGAACAGGTTAGAATGAACATGTTGATAATAGTAAATGAAAAGCAAACTTGGAAGCCATTTATTTGCTTCTGTTGGGGTTTTCCTGGATTGGGAGATTTAATGTTGAAGAGTAATCAGATAGCTTTGGCTAGTTCTTAAATACAAATGTACCCACAAAGTGTTTGCACAGGATTAATTATTAATATTAAGAGAATAAGGACTGGAGTGATTCATTGAAACTGAATACAGCCATCTTCGGTGACTTAGAAATTACCCAGACTTTTTGTTAACTAAGCCTGACCTTGCCTCCGTTATCAAGGTTGAAACCAGCAGTGGAGAGTGAAGAATATCAGCAGTAAGGGTATCAGGAGCAGAGAAGGGAGACAGCAGCCAGGAATGGGCAGGATGAGAAAAAACGGAGAAGGAAGGGAGTCAGATCAAGAAGTAGGAATGGAAACAAAAAGGAATAAAAAAGAGAAGGAGTGAAAGTAATGCGGATGTAAATCATTGAAGTAATGGCAAGTATCTAACTTCCGTGTTTGGATATGCTTGCTTAGACTGCAGCAGGACCCTCCAAGAATTAAGTTTACCCGTGAAAGGAAGAAGGTGAGCAAGAGAGAAGGGAATTTTTAAAATACACTTGTTAAATTGTTTTTTAAATTTAAAATCAACATTAATGCACAATTTTTAAAATTTTTCAACATAGTAGTAATATTTGAGTCATATTACTAGGGAGCACTGTTCTAAGTCCTGTGTATATTGGTTCATTTAATCCTCACATAACTTTGCTAGCAGGGACTATTAATATTTCTTCCATTTTACAGATGCAGAAACTGAGCCACAAAGAGAGTAAGTAAATTGTCTAGGCTATTCAGATCACAGAGCCAAGATTCCACTTGAGGCAGCATGACTGCAGCTGGCTCTGTCACCTCTACCTCTCCCTCTCCATGATTTGTATGATATGTTTCTATAGAAATTTTTCTTGTTTTGAGAATGTTACATTTCCTTAAAGTAGTTATATACCTGCTAGAGTAACAAACTCATGACACTATTCAGAGTTCAAACAATTCTAGTCACTATTCACATCAACTTCCTTTTACTTTTTTCCCTTTAGAGTAATTTGGGAAAGTTTGTTAAACTAGGTCCAAAATACGAAAATAAATAGTGCATGGTCCCTGTATTCAGTGAACTGAATCTCAGTTTGTAATTGTTTGGTTACTTGAACCAAACCAGCTGTACTCCTCCAACAATACTAGTGTGAATTATTTGGCTTGAACCAAGCTTGTCAGTGAATGTTTCTTGGCTTCAAAAGTTTGCTCACCTTTAAAAGCTATGGACCAACTAGTAGTATTTCTGTTATCCAAAACATTTGGAATTCTTTTAAGCCTCACAACAAAATCACCTTCCATACAAAAAGCAGTAGTACCTAGTTTGATCACCTTCCTTTAATCATCCTTGAAATTAAAGCTTTGCATGGATACTCACAAAATATTTATCTAAAAAGGTGTTTTGTTTTGTTTTACAGCCTTGATGGACAAAAATGTTTGCAGGTTATAGAGAAGGAAATGTGAATGGAGTTAGTGGATTTCACCAGGAACTTTGGAAAAGTGTTGGGTATTAGTCTTTAGTTGGCAAGTATTTCTTGATCAGTGTCTTTTAGGCAAATAAGAGAAATTCTGGATCATCTGACAGGAAGGAAGTTAAGTACTAAATTCGGTCTAATTTGGCTTTTTGACCTGAGCCTCTATTGCTTCACTCTGACAAATAGTTTTAGCATTTGAAGGCTTGATTAGCCATTCCCCTGTTAGACATGAATAATGATAATAAATGAGAGATTGTGGGAAACTGAGAGTGTCTTCATTTTCTTGAATGTATTATGTGGGCATCGGCTCTCAGATTTTTATAGTGGCATTTGGAATACTTTGAATTTAATATTGGTGCCGTTATATATTATCCATATCTCATTCATTCAACAAATTGAACCACAGCCACATAGTGCTAAATACTAGGAACACAAATAAAGAACTCTGTTGTGTGTTCAGGCTACTTCCAGACTAAATTACTCTTTTGAGCATTCTCAGTTTCTCTAAGCCTGTCCTTGTTGTCATTTTAAAAGGAAGAAATAAGTTGAAAGTTCACATTAAAATTATTCATTCGTTTTAAGGTAACATTATTTCTGGTTTTTGGGAGCCAAACTCTTTTTTACATCTGTTTTAAAGAGATAGCAGAAGGAAAACTTCTTGAAGTCATTTTTACTTCATTTACACATCTGCAAATGCAGTTGAACTGGAAAGATCCTTTTCAGATCCTAAATCCAGTGATTAAGTTTCATGTTACATTTAAAAAGACCTCATACCGGAAGGATCCACTGTCCCTCTATCAGAAATTTTCTTCACCTCCAGTTTAGCATTGTTTCTGTACAGTAATTGTTGACACCGCCCCCCCCCCAAGACACAGTGAGGCTCAGATGTTCATCTCTTGAAAAATGGGTACTCAAATCTTGACATTTAGTAATTGTCTTCTCATGGGAAATTTCTTGAATGTAATCTTAAAATATTATTTGAGTTTATTTTATGCCTATTTTCTAAGAAGTCCACAGTTAACTTGGTTTATTATTAGCTTTTGGGGTACATATTCAGACTTGATGTTTCTCTTAGTCAATATCTTTGTAGTGTTTGTGTTCTTATACTTCTGTCCCAAAGACCTAATTTACTAAGCTTAAAAAAAAAAAAAAAAAAGCTAATTTCTGGATCTCTGATTGGCAAAGTTTCTACTGTTGGTTTATATTACATGCTTATACGCTGGTGGTGTAGCTGCTTTCATTATTGCTATAGTTAAGTAGTAATAGAGATAAGTAATAGTTTTATGTTCAGAATCCTCCTTATTTTGCCCTCTCGGTGCTTTTTCTGTTCCTTCAACAAGATAGTGAAGCTAATAAAGGCAGGCAGTTAAAGCCACACAATGAATCATTGCTTGATTTAAAAGAGTACTAGAAAATGGTGACTTTGTGCCTAGAAAGAATAGTGGGTATACTTGATCTGCTTTTCATCTTTTTTTTTTTTTTTCATGTATAGCATCATCTTTTTGCTTGAGTTATTTTCTTTGCCTCCACAATGTGCAAATTAATATTATTTAAACTTTCTCTTTAGCATTTTTAGTATGTTCAGTCAGCTTATTTAGTATGTCTTTTCCCTTTTCCCCTTTGTTCTATGTGCAAAACGAATAAAACAGATTTTATAGATTAGTTCTATTTAATGAATAACTTTATTAAAACTATTACATCAATCTTGTCATACCCAGCTCACAGTTCATACTATTAATACTGCATTCCCTCCTTGCACGCTTCCCCCCTTAGAAAATAGAGGGTTTGGGCTAGGTGCGGTGACTCACACCTGTAATCCCAGCACTTTGGGAGGCTGAGGCAGGTGGATCACCTGAGCTCAAGAGTTCGAGACCAGCCTGGCCAACATGGTGAATACAAAAATACTAAAAATACAAAAATTAGCCTGTGTGGTGGTGCACGCCTGTAATCCCAGCTACTCCGGAGGCTGAGGCAGGAGAATTGCTTGAACCCAGGAGGCAGAGCTTTCAGTGAGCCGAGATCATACCTCTGCACTCCAGCCTGGGCAACAAGAGCAAACCTCCACCTCAAAAAAAAAAAAAAAAGAAAACAGAGTTTTTTGAAATGTATTTGTTTTTAAATCACCAGAGTTTTCTCTTTTCTGCAGATAATATCGTCTACTGCATTATTTTTGGCTGCAAAAGTGGAAGAACAGGCTCGAAAACTTGAACATGTTATCAAAGTAGCACATGCTTGTCTTCATCCTCTAGAGCCACTGCTGGATACTAAATGTGATGTATGTAAATACTGGATTTTTTATTTTTCTTTGTAAATTTGAAACTTTTTCATAATGTAGGCCTAACAAAAATACAGTTCAATTAGTGTTGCCTTCCAAATGCTGCTTATTTTATTACCTCTTAGGAATGCAATGCCAGGAAGCAGTCTGGCAGAAAAACATTTCACGTATGTTCATGAATTTGGATGTCATTCTGAATTATAGAAGGCTTTGATTCCAGATGCTTTGTTGATTCAAAGATACTTTTGTTTTACATTTTGTTGTTCAGAGTTATGATACATGTAGAGGGTAAGCCCTGTCACCTCCACTGGAAGCTGTATTTGAGACCAGATTATAAATAACCCCTTAATTTGTCAACAGATGAAGGAACAGAAAATCTTCTGAATTTACCCCTAAATGAGTAGTCTTTTTAAAGTATTGTTCCTTTTTAAATGCATGTACTGCTACTTATCTCTGATACATAAAGCTGCATTTTGCTATGCTTTCATGAGCAGCGTTTTTTTAGTATTTTAATTTTCCTACAGTAATGTTACTTTCCAGACAACTTTATCATCAACATTGTAATAGACCTTATTTGAAAGAACTATTTTAAATTTTTCTGACATCTTAAGATGGAAGTTAGAATTGTGGCCCTTTAAAAATTTTCAGCCAGGCGCAATGGCTCATGCCTGTAATCCCAGCACTTTGGGAGGCTGAGGCAGGCAGATCACCTGAGGTCGGGAGTTTGAGACCAGCCTGACCAATATGGAGAAACCCTGTCTCTACTAAAAATACAAAATTAGCGAGGCGTGGTGGCGCATGCCTGTAATCCCAGCTACTTGGGAGGCTGAGGCAGGAGAATCGCTTAAACCCGGGAGGCAGAGGTTGCAGTGAACCGAGATCACACCATTGCACTCTAGCCTAGGCAACAAGAGCAAAAAAAGTCTCAAAAAAAAAATTTTTTTTCTAGCATCCCGAGTTACTTAATCAGAAACCTTTACCTATTGGATGACTAACAGATTATGTTAATTCAAAGTCCAGATTAATTTAAGCTTCAGTGGAACTATATCTGATTTTATTAATGGCAAGTTTTGTCATAGATGTTGGCTTTAAGGGAGTAAACTATTAATGTAGCCATTAAATAATAGTTTGTCATTATTTAATGATAATTCCTACAGTTTCTATTAACTGTACAAATTCAGAACTATTTCTTGGGGTACTGTTTAAATAATAGAAATTGTGTTCTAAAAGTCAGCCCAATGACCTTTCAAAATAGAGCATAAATAAAATGAAAGATACTTTTACTCTCTGGCTTTAGCAATATGTCCTTACAAAAATGAATATAGGTATATTCATATCGGTAATATAGTATTTCCTTATCACTTTGTTCAATTGTCATGATTTCAGAATAGGACAGCAGTAAATTTTTCATATCCTTTATTTCCAGAGTAATTGTAGTAGATAAAATTTCTTGAAATTGAGTAAGGAGGTTCTCTGGTATTTATGTCCCCATAGGTGTGAGATACATTATTTTGGTATGTTTGATAATTTCTAAGGTGGCAGGGAAGTTAATTCTAAAATTAACTCACTGACTTACTGTGACTTTTGAGGAATTACCACATTAAATGTCCTAGAGTGAGTTTGTAAGCCAGGTTTGAGTTAAAGGCAGGTTTGAGTTTGATGTTTTTAATTGACTTGGACTTCCTGTCTTTAATATCTCTTGAAGCACCAATGCCTAGGTTGTTTCACTTTACAGACTGTGCACATCTCCTTTTTTCAATTAAATTGCCCCCTTTCATATTGTTTAGTTTCTTGTTTTTTGCTGTTTGTTTCCTGTTACAGAAAGTAATTCAGTTTAGGCTTGCCACAGAATACAGGTTTTCTCTGTCACCCTCAATTTATTTTCTCCATATTTTCAAACTACTGTGGTTCTTTTGTAATCAACCTGTAATTCTCACAAGATGTAACAGTCATGTAGTCTAGTAATGTTACTTTTATTTTAATCAATTTGATAATATTTTTATCTGACAGGCTTACCTTCAACAGACTCAAGAACTGGTTATACTTGAAACCATAATGCTACAAACTCTAGGTACGTACTTACATCAGATAATGGCTTTTTGTGTGTACTTCCCTAAAGCATTTTAAATAAGTGAAAAGATTTCTGAAATAATTGTATTATTGAAGAAAGTTACTTTAAAACAGGTTTTAGACCAGAATAACGTTGCCTGGTTATAAGGAAATTACTTTTCTAGAATTTAATTTCATTTGGCATAATTAAATTGAATGGTAAACATACCCTACAGTATGATTTCTTAGGTTTTCAGGTAGTTGAAGTACGAAGTACTATGCTTCACTCTGGATTTGCACTGGAGAGTAAAATGGTCCTTTAGGGCTGTTTCATATGATTGTGATGTATACAAACCTACACAGCAATCCTTGTTCTCCTTGAGCTTCCAGTCAGTATTTTATGAGTATATCGCCTTTTTATTTTTATTTATTTATTTATTTTTTTAAGACGGAGTCTCGCTCTGTCGCCCAGGCTGGAGTGCAGTGGTGCAATCTCGGCTCACTGCAACCTCTGCCTCCTGGGTTCAAGCAATTCTCCTGCCTCAGTCTCCCGAGTAGCTGGGACTACAGGCTCATACTGCCACGCCAGTTATTTTTCTGTAATTTAGTAGAGACGGGGTTTCACCATGTTGCCCAGGCTGGTCACGAACTCTTGAGCTCAGGCAATCCGCCCACCTTGCCCTCCCAAAGTGCTGGGATTATAGGCATGTGCCACCGCGCCCAGCCTATCAGGATTTTTAATGTGACATAGTAATTATTTAAATGTTGGTCGTCTTTTTTTAAAAGTGTATCTTTGTATGCAAGTTCATTTACTCTCATCATTCACCTTACTCAATTTACTGAAATTGAGGCCTAAGAAAGTGATGGCTTATCTAAAGTCATACATTACTTCTGGAAGAACCCACTAGGATGTGGTAGGAAGAACATGGGCTTTGGGGAGATCCGAGTTAAAATCTGTAGGCCTCTGATTTGCTTTGTAAACTTGGGCAAAAGTTCCTTTACCTGTCATACCTCCATTCTGTGGCCGTGGAATAGTATCTGAGTCATATCGTGAATTTGTCATTTTTTAAATTTATTATTCCATTCCCAGATGTTGCATAGAAGTGGGATAAATCAGTCACAACTTCCCATTGTGACAGACTCTTCATTATAAAACTAGCTTGTGTGAAATACATATACAGTTGACCCTCAAACAGCACAGGTTTGAACTCCATTGGTCCACATGGATTTTTTTCAGTAAATAATACTGGAAAATTGGAAATTTGCAACAATTTGAAAAGCTTGTAGGTGAACTGTAGCCTAGAAATATTGAAAAAATTAAGAAAAAGTTGGATATGTCATGAATGCATAAAATATATATAGATATTAGTCTATTTTAATATTTACTGCCATAAAATATACATAAATCTATTTTTAAAAGATAAAAATTTTAAAAACTTAGGCACACAAGCTCAGAGCATACGTGGCTGTATTCGCAGTTAAGAGAAAATGTAAACAAACAAATGTAAAGGTACATAAAATTAACTTTAATACATACATAACTGTACTACTGTGATAATTTTGTAGCCACCTCCTGTTGCTATTGCAATGAGCTCACGTGTTATGAGTATCCACTTAAAATGCTGTGTGACACTTGTTATCTCTGAACAGTTTGTCTCTCCAGTAAGTTACATATTGCAGTAAAAGAAGTTCTGGCGTATTTTTACTGTATTTAGTGCAATACTGGAAACTTTGATTAACATCATGGGACCCATACAGAGTGCCTCAAGTGATGCCAGAAGTGCTCCCAAGAAGCAGATAAAAGTTGTGATGTTACCAAAAAAAAGTTGAATTGTTTGATATGTATTGTAGATTGAGGTCTGTAGCTACAGTTGCCCACCATTTTAAAATAAATGAATCCAATGTAAGGTTCAGTGTGAAAGAAGAAAAAAACATTTTTGAAGCCATCACTGCAGCTATACAAGCAGGCACAAAAACCTTGCACTTTATCTCATATTGAAAATGCAGCTTTTATGTGAATGCAGGATTGCTATAAGAAAGGTATGCCTATGGACTCTAATATGATTGGAGAGAAGCTTAAAGCAAAGGGAAGGTGAAGGATCTAAAGCCAGAGAATTTAATGCCAGCAAAAGACAAATTATGGTATATTTCTGTAAAGTTACACCACGTGTTGCCTGCCTCTCCTGCCTCCCCTTTTGTGTCTTCCAACCTGAGACAGTGAGACCAACCCCTCTTCTTCCTTGGTCTACTATGAAGACCTTTATGATGATCCACTTTCACTTAATACTAGTAAATACATTTTTTGTTCCTTATGATTTTCTTAATAGTTTCTTTAGCTTACTATGTTGCAAAAATACAGTATATGATACGTATGCAAAATATGTGTTGATTAACTGTTTATGTTACCAGTAAGGCTTCAACGGTAAGCAGGTTCTGGTCAACGATAGTTAAGTCTTAGGAGAGTACGTGGATTTTCAACTGTGTAGGGATTGGCACCCCTAGGCCCTGCGTTTTTCAAAGGTCAACTGTAAATTCTTTGAAGTTTCTATAAAATGAAAAGATGCCAAAAAAGTGAGGGTCTTATTTCTTGCAAATCCAATGATTTACCATGTTATTGTTTTACTATACAAAATTATATAAATTTCATTTAGGTAAAAAATTGAAAATGAAAAATTTTAAATCATTATATAATGCAATTATTATATAAAATCATAATGTAATATCCATATTGTGTATGACATATTCTTAGGCACAGAGAATGAGAAGGTATTTTAAGGGGAACATTAGAATTTAGAAGATATGCCTCTGTGGCTTTATTTAAAGTATTTTGCATATTTAATTGCAGTAGAACTATATATAGACCACACAACAACTTTATAAATCTAGGTTACCCATTTGTTAGGATTTTATTTACTTACTGCTTCTGAAGACAACCAAATGTGATCTTCACTTTTAGTAAAAACAGAAATCCTGCCACACCTAAGGGTTGATTGCACGTTGAAAGCTTTTAAACATTTCATCTTTCGTATTAGAAACAGTAGTTTAAGCAGTCATGAGACCTCTAGGGTTTGTTTGTCATATGATTTTAATTATTAATGAAGTATAGTTATAAGATAACTGGTTGAAACCCTTTGATCTAGAGTGCTGTATCATTTAAAAGCTCATTTCTGCCACTGTGGCCCAACAGTTAATGTTTATGAAAAATGAAAGAAAGCTTGGAATATTAAGAAAGATATTACGTAGTTGAATTCCGTCCTTAAATTGTGGGACCAGCTTAACAATTGTATTTGCCAGGAGTTTAATTTGTTTTTAACTTTAAGATAATCCCAAATCATTTATAATTCAGAATTTCAAACAAATTTACCCTTGGTCTTTTAACTTTATTTTCATAATTGAGACATTGTATTTGAAAAATTATATCTTGTCATTGGAAAAATAATGAGAATGTCAGTGATGAGAAACCTTAATTTTGGATTTTTCCTAATAATGAAGAATATATTATATGTTTATGGTATTTCTCAGGCAAGTATTGTAGTGGTAAGTGATTGGAAAAAAAAGTGCTTATCATTTCAGGTTTTGAGATCACCATTGAACACCCACACACAGATGTGGTGAAATGTACCCAGTTAGTAAGAGGTAGGTGATCCTTAAAACATTTAAGATAAGTATTAATGCTTTTTATTATCTATAATTGATTTGGGTGCTATTTTGTTCTTCTATCCTTTTGTTAGGTTGCATTAAAAGTAGGGGGAACTGTCATTTTTTAAGCATTACTTTTTAGTGCTCTACATCTGCCTATTCATCTACTTCTACTTGTGATTCTACCTGGTATGTTAGCTTCCTTTAAACATAGGTAAGAATCTCATTTCACTAAAACTTTGGAGGGCTTCCAAGTATTAGTACTCTATCCATCCCCCATTGAGCTCTCTCAGTCAGGTGTGGGCCAATAGTGCATAGGTCCAGAAAACAATATTAATTTTAGGTTTGTGTCAAACTTTGACTTTTTGAAAAGTGATAATGAGGAATTTTGAGGCCAATCTCAGGCCTTTCAGATAAAAATTGCCTTTGTTAAAAGATTTGTCAGTACGGTGGCTCCCACCTGTAATCCCAGCCCTTTGGGAGGCTGAGGCAGGCCGATTGCTTGAGCTCAGGAGTTCCAGACCAGCCTGGGCAACATGATGAAACCGCATCTCTACAAAAAACACAAAAATTAGCTGGTTTGGTGGCACACGCCTGTAGTCTCAACTATTCAGTAGGCTGAGGTGGGAGGATGACTTGAGCCCAGGAGTCGGAGGTTACAGTGAGCCCAGATCATGCCCCTGCACTCCACCTTGGGCAACAAGAGTGAGACCCTATCTCAAAAAGTTATTTTTTGGGGGGAAGTGTTTTGCCCATATTCATTTGGGCAAACTAAAATTGATTCAATGTATTCGAGGGTCTTTGACATTACTAAAAGTGATTTCCTTTTTATGTGTAATGGAGAAATAATTATAGGGCATAAAAAATATAGTTTGTGATGTGCCTGTTAAGCCTCTTGTTTATAAACAGGAGTACTTTTTAAAAGTAGTGCTTTACTGCTTGTAAAGTATCTAGTAGTATCTGATACAGCATTTTTCTACTCCTGAATAAATCCTATATATCTGTTGTGTCCCTAGAAACATTTTTTACACAGTTGCATGTTGTTCTGCTTCTTACTTCTACTTTCCTGTTTCCATTTCAAGTGTTAATGTATTCATAGCAGCCACTTGGGACCTGTAGTGTGCCATTTTCTGTTACTTCCTTTTTGAAAATAGAATTTTGCAGTTTCATTCATTTACTACCAAGCTTTTTTAGATTTATCCTAAACAAAATGAGTAAGACTTTTGAAAGTCTTGTGTTTTTAGTATTTATCTAAGTATTCTCACATTTTATTCATTTTAAATTGAATTCATTTTGTACCTAATGATTTATTATGTTAGTGGCTACAATTTTTTAAAAATTGTCTGATAGTATCATTAGGAAGTGGACGTCTGAAAATTCAATTTGTATTTTCTGTAGTAGCATACATTATCATTTGTAAGCTAGAGCATATTTAACTGTGGTTCCTGTTCTTCGTGGTTATATCAATGTGTTTTATAGCACATTTTCATGTCAATATTACAGTATAGCATAGAATTGTATACATAACTAGTTGTAGGTGTTGAATTAAGAAAAAAGGGTTAGTTTTTTTTAAAAACTTGAAAAAGGGTAAGCTAAACTTTATAAGCATTGTAGCCATATAATTTGCTTTAAATTGAGAGCCTATTGAAGAAACATTAGTCGAAGGGAGTATATGTTTAAAAATATTACTTATGAATATTAGGAAATTGGATTTTCAGGTTACTGTTGTGAAATTTGAGTCAACTTTAAATTGTTTATCAGAGATTAATATTTTTTGTACATGTTCTCCTACAACTAAAAATTCTAGAGAGACATGAAGTCAGTTTACTTGAAAAATGAAATAGTAACTTTTAAAACATTTACAAAAACTACAAATTTGATATATCCAAAACAAAATATTTAGACCAGATTATTTGTTGTTGTTAATGTTAAAATGTGACTGATTCTTTGAGTACAAACCATGTATATGTTTAATGTCATTTTGTCTGACTAACATTTCAGGTAACGATAGAATATATATCACTCCATTTTAAAAGTATTCTTTCATGTTTTAGTGTCTTTTTTTTTTTTCCTTTACTCTTTTACAACTTTCAGCTAACAGCATTTCCCCTCTATTCTTCTCTATTGCACAGTGACTGTTTCTAGATCACTGAATTTAGATACATCCCTAGGTGAAAATTGCTAATGGCATTTTTTAATTATTATTTTTTCCTTCTCTACGTATTTTTATTCGGGGGGGGAGGGGAAAATAAATTTGATTTCTGTGAAGTCTTTTTCCCCCCTCTGGAGATGAGAAAGTTGATATTATGCTACTTTGCTGCAGAATTGGCTAATGTCATTTTACAGGGACCTTCACTTCTGTGATTTCTCCTTCCCTCCCCACCAGGAAAGTCACACTGCCTCCAAGACATCTGATGCTTTGCCACTCTTCCTTAGCACAACTCTGCTAAACCCCAGTCCCTTTTGTAAAACCTTTATGTTGATGATCCACATGGGGCAGCAGGGATTACAGGTGCCATGAATAAAAAATAGGGGAGGGGGGAAGAAATTTGAGGACTGTTAGAGGGGTGGAGTTGAGATAAACTGATCCTAGGTGAGCAGAGGGGAAAGGTGTGTCAGTGATTGTGGATGTAATTGGGAAAAAGGGAAATGATAACAAGGGCATCCCTGTTGGGAAGACTAAGAGGCAGAGTAAGGGGAGGGAAAACTTCAGTGTCTTAAGCTGATTAAAAATTGCCTTTCTGTTGGGGACCAGTGTTGAAGCATTCTGATCCTCCCTAGAATACCTGTATCTTTCCTAAGTTTGTCTTTAATTACATTCTGTAATTTGAAATAAATTACAGTGGAGCCTCCTGTATCTATACCCGTATGCTGTTTCTAGGTTTATTCTCTGTTGATGCTTAATAGCATGATGAAAAACTGAGCAGTTCGTGCTCTGTGTTTTGTGGGGTGGGGGTTTGTTTTGTTTTGTTTTGTTTTGATGGAAGTATTTAAGCCAACTTAAATATGACTGAGGATTAAGTCTGGCAGGCAACTCTTTGTATTTTGTATTAGACTTCAAAATCTTTTCTTCTTCTTCTTCTTTTTTTTTTAAATCCAGGAGAATGCTTTATTGCAACTTTTAGCTGACTAGATGCTTAACTTAGTAACAAGTTTAGCCCTTGTAACTGGCTAGCTAAAAGCAAATCGGCTTGTTTCTCAGATCTTTGGGGGATAGCAAGAAACATTTGAGTGAATGTTGTTGAAGATTTTCAGTAGTATAGAAAATGATGGCGCTCTTGTGATATTTGTAAGTAGTAAGTAAAATTTACTTTTTGTGTACAAATCTTTGAAGTTTTTGTTGTGTTGAGAACTTTTTGATGGTAGCACGTTAAAGCTGATAGTATTGTCTTCGTTTTTTTTTTTCTTTTCTTACAGCAAGCAAGGATTTGGCACAGACATCCTATTTCATGGCTACCAACAGGTTGTTATCCTGACCCTCTTTGTTGCACTGTTGTAGCACACTATAGCTTCCTTTAATGCAGGGCCCCCTCAATGTGTCTCTTACCCTTGTTGCAACAGGAGACTGGACCATCTACTGTGGTGGTACCTTCCTGTTTGCTTTGCGGTGTATTGTACAAGGGACTTTGGGCACAGAGGGGTTAAATGCACAATGTGAAGTGTAGTGGTGCTTTCTGATGACATATTCTCGATTTGTGAGTGCATAAGTCTAAAATTGGTAGCCTGAATAGCAGCTAAAGATTACAAAGAGCTAAACTTAACGTAGAAATTCGAGCAACTTGGTAAGTATAAAGCTATTTCCAGTTTACAATTATAGTTAAATGACAATTTTTAAAATTTCACGTTGATCCAGTCTTAACTTTAAAATACTCTAATTAAAGTTTTTTTAATAAATAAAATTTATGTAATTTGAAATTTTTTTCCAGATAATACCCACTAGTAGCTAGTTAAAAGTAGTCAAGTCCTATCCATGCCTGGATTTGCATAAACACAATTTTTCTTTTTTTTTTTTAAACAAAAAAACCTTCCTTTTCAGTTTATGTAGAGTAAAAAATGGTATGCGTTTATGGGTGATCAGATAACATTTCCATCATTGAAACTGAACTGGAAGAATAGTTTTAAGGAACCTTTAATATATAATTCTGTTCTATATTTATTTTATTAATGATTTAAATTTGTTTTTTTGAGTGGATCATTGGGGAGAAGGGACCACGCCAGCTTTGTAGGGTCCCTAATTTCTTGTGACACTGATAAGTTTTATTTACAGTTTCGGATTGGCAAATACTGCTATATTTTCTCAAATATCTGTTGTTGGGATTTAACCTCTATCCCCAGTAATTCTGAACAACAACATAAAAAGACTTAAATTTGAAACTTTGATTAGAAAAGACCAGCTATGACACATATTAACATGCCCCATATTTGGCATATAGTGGAAGGAGAAAGGTAGTATTTTTGCAGTATTTAATAACATTGAGCCTTGAAGCTGTTTGGCAAAAGGTAAGTTTCCTTTGTGGCTTTGCCGAAAAACAAGGCATAGGTTTACATAGATACGTGTTTAATTCTCTCTGCTTCACTAAAGAAAGCAAATGCTTATTAAGCCACATCAGATGGGATAATCCCTGATTATTGTGACATTGAAATTACTTTGTCAGTTTTACAAATAGTCTTTATTTTTACATTTACATATTTACCATGACATTACAAAAGAAAAATACCACAAAAAATTTACAGTGTTATCTATATAGTGATTATTGCAAATATACTATCCTCTTCTCCTTTTATAAAATACTTCAATTTTAGATGTAAAAACAAAATTTTAAATATTAATATATTAGTAGTAGTAATATACTGTTGGGAGTGAGGGGAAATGTTCATTATATGTAGATTTTTTAGTACTAGAATTTTATAACTTAGCTTTTAATTTAATAAGGTTTTATACTCTAGACTTAAAGATAGAGTTTAAATTTTGCTCTAATCTTACTGGTAAATGTTTTTCTTTGTTTTACATACTTGAATTTTTATGGCTCTCCATTTTCAAACCTGCTCTGCAACAGTCTGCATCTTACAACCTTCTGTCTTCAGTACAAACCAACAGTGATAGCATGTGTATGCATTCATTTGGCTTGCAAATGGTCCAATTGGGAGATCCCTGTATCAACTGATGGAAAGCATTGGTGGGAATATGTGGATCCTACAGTTACTCTAGAATTATTAGATGGTAAGTAGAGAAAATACATTTTTAACAATTTGGATTTATCTAAGTTGTCTGTTGTCTGAATTGACAATAGAAAGTGTCAGTGCGCTATCAAATGAACAGAATGAAAACAAGAATTCATCAGCCTAAAGAAAAAAAGAATTCAATCTGGAAGCTGTGCTCATACCTGTAATCCCAGCACTGTGGGAGGCTGAGGCAGGAGGATCACTTGAGCCCAGAGGTTCAAGACCAGGCTGGGCAACATAGACCCTGTCTCTACAAAAAAATGTTAAAAATTGACTGGATATGGTGGTGCACGCCTGTAGTCTCAGCTACTTGGGAGGCTGAGGCGGGGTGATCGCTTGAGCACGGGAAGTCAAGGCTGCAGTAAGCCTTGAAGGCACTGCTCTACTCTAGCCTGGGTATATATTAACTACCACCAGATATCTAAAGCTTTTTCAGGACTTAAAAAATAAATAGATAAGGTTTAGAATTCCATAAGCTGACAAGATAAGAATAGTGATTTAAAGTATACTAATTCTGTTGAGTTTTAAATGTGTATACTGAAAGTTGAGTGTTAACCGTGAAGCAGTAAACTAAAGGGATTTTCAGGGGATTGTGTTTCTTGCCTGTATTACCATTGTTGCCTTACATTGTTAAATATGAATACACAAGGAGAAATTGTGCGTATGTGTTCTGTTAATTAGGAGCATGGAATTTTGGGGATGTTTTGATGAGAAATTCCTCTGGTTGAGAAGTAAAAGAAGCTGGCCAGAAATGGGAGATTCTTGGGATTAGGGCATTTTAACCACGTACTGTAGATTTCAGAAAGAAAACAGATAACACTTTTTTTTTTTTTTGAGTCAGTCTCACTCCGTTGCCGAGGCGACAGAGTGCAGTGGTGCAGTCTCAGCTCACTGCAACCTCTGCGTCCCGAGTTCAAGCAATTCTCCTGCCTCAGCCTCCCAAGTCGCTGGGACTGCAGGCACGAGCCACCACACTCAACTAGTTTTTGTATTTTTAGTAGAGATGGGGTTTCACCATGTTGGCCAGGCTGGTCTCAAACTCCTCACCTCAGATGATCTGCCAACCTTGTCCTCCCAAAGTGCTGGGATTACAGGCTTGAGCCACTGTGCCTGGCCTTGTTTTGTTTTGTTCTTTGAGACAAGATACTCTGCCCCCCAAGCTGGAGAGCAGTGGTGCAATCTGGGCTCCCTGCAACCCTCTGCCTCCTGGGTTCAAGCGATTCTTGTGCCTCAGCCTCCCAAGGAGCTGGGACCACAGGCGCATGCCACCACGCCCAGATAATTTTTGTATTTTTAGTAGAGACGGGGTTTTGCAGTCCACCTGTCTTAGCCTCCCAAAGGGCTGAGATTACAGGTTTGAGCCTCCATGCCCTGCTTGAAGTGTTTCTTTAAGATAGGGATCTGCAAAGAGTAACACTATTTTAGAGTTTGTGGGCCATAAGGTCTCTGTTGCAACTATACGACTATACCATTGCAGCCGGAAAGCAGCCATAGGGCAGTTTGTAACTGATTGTGTGTGGCTGCGTTCCAATAAAACTTTGTTGACAAAAATAAATGACCAGCCATGTTTGGCCAATTATCCATAGTTTGCCTATTCTTATTTGTGAAATATGCTTCTTTGTTTCATCCCTTTATTTTCTATTTTGTTCTCCACCTGGAAAAAATTATCCCAGAATATATGTCTCATGCTGTATTATTGCTGCATGATTATAATGTTTTTCTTAAATTGTTAGAGGCTTTTTCTGAGTTTATCCAGAGGAAAGGAAATCTTCAATGAGTTGAAATGACATCTAAAACTCAGTGAGGGCTTATCTGTTCTATAGCTTGAAAATCAGGTTATCTAGATCATTGTTTTAGTTTAATAGTCACTAGATTAAGATTAAGTAGGCAAAATCTTTTTTTTTTTTTTTTTTTTTTTTTTTTTTTGAGACAGAGTCTCACTCAGTCGCCCAGGCTAGAGTGCAGTGGCGCAATCTCGGCTCACCACAAGCTCCGCCTCCTGAGTAGCTGGGATTACAGGCGTGTGCCACCACGCCTGGCTAATTTTTGTATTTTTAGTAGAGACAGGGTTTCACCACGTTGGCCAGGCTGGTCTTGAACTCCTGACTTCATGATCCACCCACCTCGGCCTCAAAGTGCTGGGATTACAGGCTTGAACCACCACGCCTGGCCAGTAGGCATAATCTTAACAAAAATAGTTTATATACCTGGTGCTGAAGTAAAAAGATCACAAAAAAGTAATCTGCCTTTTATCCTGACTTTAGGTCAGAGGTTAGGTTGTGGTTTATGTGGGGGTTTTTTGACACAGCAGGAGCTACCTCATTTCCATTCTGAAAAAGGTAAAGTTTATTAATTTGGAGAGCAGTTGAATAAGACTCTTGGAGACCTGGTACGTTAAGACTTTCACCATGTTTTGCAGCCCTTTTTTTCTGTGTCAGTCACAAAAAGGCAATTCAAAATTTAAGACATGAAGATGTGGCTGGGTGCAGTCACTCACATATCTTGAGCACAGGAGTTTGAGCCCAGCCTGAGCAACATGGCAAAACCCCGTTTCTACTAAAAATACAAAACACACACACACACACACACACACACAAAAACCGGGTGTGGTGGCGCACTCCTATAGACCCAACTACTGTGGAGGCTAAGGTGGGAGGATCACCTGAGCCTGGGAAGTCAAGGTTGTAGTGAGCTGTGATAACGCCAGTGCACTCCAGCCTGGGCAACAGAGGAAACCCTCTCTGGAAAAAAATGAAAAGACATGAAGGTTTATCTGAATCTTAAGAGTGCAGTGATACTAGTATTATTACTTACTGAAATCACTTAACAACTATGTTCCAGAAAAGAACATTGGCTTAGACAGTAGCTTTGAGAGAGAAGGGCCTCTATTTTAGGCACATACTGTGATTTTTGTGCATATAGCTAATTAATTACATTAATGGATTATTTAACAGATTCTTTTGTTCTTCTGCTATAAAATTTAATACAGTAGGATACTTAAGAAAAACAAAGCTTACATTTTGTGTACCAGATTTTGGACCAGAACTTGAAGTGTATTTAATGTTTTACAACCAAGTTGTTACAGAAATTGAGTCAAAACAATTTTGGTAATGTTGGACCCAAAAGTAGAAAAATAGTCTTTTTTTTTTTTCTTTTTCTTTTCAAATGAGGAAGTGAAGGTCTGGGCATTAGGGTTTTTTTTCATCCAAACTGGATGAAAAAGCTCATGAGACTTTAGCAGGGACTAGTCGTAACATTGTCAAGGAAATTACATCTTGAAAGATTAATGGTTAAATTATAGCTTGTCTGAATTGTCAGTCTTAACATTGGCTTAGAATAATTTACAAAGAAGCTTGCTATTACAAAATGAACCTGTAGTCTCTACTAATAGAGGTTCCCCCAGTATTGAAGTTGAATTGGCTTTATTAATATTATGTGGTATTCTAATGTATTTGACTGGTGAATATTTGAGAGTGGCCAGTAACTATTAATGACATTATTTTGGGGGAATGAAACTATAGTTCATCAAAACCACACTACTATGGAAAAGTGGGTCATTTCATTGTAATCAAAATTTTAAGAAAATTGATAGAAAAAATGACAACCAAGATAGTTTGCTAATGTATTAATAGTGTTGATTCCTAAGAAGTATGAGTATAGTTGGAGGGATTTTCCTTTTAAAAAAAAAAGTCTGGGTGTGGTGGCTCACACCTGTGATCCCAGCACTTTGGGAGGCCAAGATGGGAGGATCACTTGAGGCCAGGAGTTTGAGACCAGCCTGGTCAACATAGTGAGACCCTGTCTCTATTATTTAAAAAGAAAGAAAGAAAGAAAGAAACTCAAAATATTGCATAGTTCCCTGTATACCCTTCAGCTTCTCCTGATACTGACATCTTACATAACAATATATGATTATCAAAACTAGGAAGTTAACATTGGTACACTACTGTTAACTAAAGCACATATTTTATTCACTATTCCATATTTTTTCCTGTTGTAGGATCCCATGTTCCATTTAGTTGACATGTCCCTTCAAGTCTTCTCCAGTCTGTGACAGTTCTTCAGTCTTTCCTTGTCTTTCGTAACACTGACACTTAGAAGAATAATGGTCATTTTATACAGTGTTCCTTAGGTAGGGTTTGTCTGATGATTTCTCATTATTATGTTGAAGTTACGTATTTTGAGCAAGAATACCGTAGAAGTAGGTTGGGTCTTGTTTGGTGCATCATATCAAGGGGTACAAAAACTGGTAATGACAACCATGATCACTTGGTTACAGTGGTATCCTTAAAGTGGTTTCTGCACTTTAAAGTCACTATTTTTTTTCTCTTTGTAATTAGTACATTTCATGGGGAAGATACGTTGGGATTTTACAAATAACCTTTTTCCTCCAATTTTTGTCCACTAATTTTAAAAAATCTATTGATAGATCTTGCCTGCAACAAAAATTACTGTGTTGTTTGCCTAATGAAGATTTTTTTATGGGGGGGGATTATTTTTAATGCTACTAGATTTTCCAGAGATTCTAATTAAGCAAGTAAAATCAGGAGGGAAAGTAATCGTTACAAAAGGATTCAGCTTTGAAAATGCCGGTTGAGAGTTGTGTGTACTTCTGTATATGCTGAGGATTGAATAGGAGGGTAAAAGTGAAGTAGATGAACTCCTAGCGTTCCTTTTTAATACTGCCCACTTAAGAGAAGTTTAAATCCTAAAGGCACCTTCTAAGTTTCAAATTTAAATTTTATTTTTAGAGCTAACACATGAGTTTCTACAAATATTGGAGAAAACGCCTAATAGGTTGAAGAAGATTCGAAACTGGAGGGTAAGAGAATTGACAGGGTTTAACAGAATTTCAGTCTTTTATGTAACATTTACATAGCTAACCAGTTTGAATTTTTGTGGTTTAATAATCTTTGCCGTATTCCTGAATAATTCAGCGTGTCTCAAGTTACATATACTCACATATTCAATTACTGACTCCAGTAGACTTTGCTAAAGTACATTATACTTTTAAAAAAATTTTCGCAGTGATTATGACGGAAATATACTCTTCATTTTACAAATGGGGAAACTGAAGCCTAGACAAGTTAAATTACTTTCTCAAGTGCTGGGCTAGGATTTAACTTGTATCTGATTCTAAAATTGGTGTTTTCAGTTTTTTATAGCTTTCTTTTATACCTCTAAATAAGGCACTTATTTACTAGCAACATTAAAACCTTGAACCCCAGGTCATTTTATTTCCATATGTTTAATATATAATGTTTTTAATGTATAACTTTTATAAGACAAGAAATTTGCATTAAATTATTTTTCTATATCACTGCTTCTTCTGTGTTTTATTTTAATAGGCTAATCAGGCGGCTAGGAAACCAAAAGTAGATGGACAGGTATCAGAGACACCACTTCTTGGTTCATCTTTGGTCCAGAATTCCATTTTAGTAGATAGTGTCACTGGTGTGCCTACAAACCCAAGTTTTCAGAAACCATCTACATCAGCATTCCCTGCACCAGTACCTCTAAATTCAGGAAATATTTCTGTTCAAGACAGCCATACATCTGATAATTTGTCAGTGCTAGCAACAGGAATGCCAAGTACTTCATACGGTTTGTCATCACACCAGGAATGGCCTCAACATCAAGACTCAGCAAGGACAGAACAGATATATTCACAGAAACAGGAGACATCTTTGTCTGGTAGCCAGTACAACATCAACTTCCAGCAGGGACCTTCTATATCACTGCATTCAGGATTACATCACAGACCTGACAAAATTTCAGATCATTCTTCTGTTAAGCAAGAATATACTCATAAAGCAGGGAGCAGTAAACACCATGGGCCAATTTCTGCTACTCCAGGAATAATTCCTCAGAAAATGTCTTTAGACAAATATAGAGAAAAGCGTAAACTAGAAACTCTTGATCTTGATGTAAGGGATCATTATATAGCTGCCCAGGTAGAACAGCAGCACAAACAAGGGCAGTCACAGGCAGCCAGCAGCAGTTCTGTTACTTCTCCCATTAAAATGAAAATACCCATTGCAAATACTGAAAAATACATGGCAGATAAAAAGGAAAAGAGTGGATCACTGAAATTACGGATTCCAATACCACCCACTGATAAAAGCGCCAGTAAAGAAGAACTGAAAATGAAAATAAAAGTTTCCTCTTCAGAAAGACACAGCTCTTCTGATGAAGGCAGTGGGAAGAGCAAGCATTCAAGCCCACATATTAGCAGAGACCATAAGGAGAAGCACAAGGAGCATCCTTCAAGCCGCCACCACACCAGCAGCCACAAGCATTCCCACTCGCATAGTGGCAGCAGCAGCGGTGGCAGTAAACACAGTGCCGACGGAATACCACCCACTGTTCTGAGGAGTCCTGTTGGCCTGAGCAGTGATGGCATTTCCTCTAGCTCCAGCTCTTCAAGGAAGAGGCTGCATGTCAATGATGCATCTCACAACCACCACTCCAAAATGAGCAAAAGTTCCAAAAGTTCAGGTAGTTCATCTAGTTCTTCCTCCTCTGTTAAGCAGTATATATCCTCTCACAACTCTGTTTTTAACCATCCCTTACCCCCTCCTCCCCCTGTCACATACCAGGTGGGCTACGGACATCTCAGCACCCTCGTGAAACTGGACAAGAAGCCAGTGGAGACCAACGGTCCTGATGCCAATCACGAGTACAGTACAAGCAGCCAGCATATGGACTACAAAGACACATTCGACATGCTGGACTCGCTGTTAAGTGCCCAAGGAATGAACATGTAATAATTTGTTTAGGTCAATTTTTCCTTTACTTTTTTAATTTAAAAATTGTTAGAATGGAAAAATTCCTTCTGATCTAGCAGTGGTAACCCCTGCTGTTGCTGCCACTGCTTCAATATTTGTAAGTGCTGCTTTATTCTTCATTCTGAAAAGAAGAGATTATAGTAAACAAGTCTTTATCTCCACATATGATAGTGTTATAAATACTGTAAAAGCATGGAAGGTGCAAAACTCAGTATTTCTACAATTGCAGCTAAGAACATTAGGATGAATGGCTGGCTGCTTCTAGGAATATAAGATGCCTCAAGCATTCATTATTTATGATTTGAATACTGTAGCTATTTTTTGTTGCTTGGCTTTTGAATGAGTGTAAATTGTTTTCTTTTGTGTATTTATACTTGTATGTATGATTTGCATGTTTCAAAGATAAAGGGATAAAACAGTATACTGACAACTGTTTACAAGAAAGTGGAGAAAAATGTACATACATTTTTGTATGTTTAGATATTACCATAAATACTCAGGATTGGAGCTGCTTGTAAGTATAACAATATACAGAATAACTTTATTTTATCTTGTCAGAGTCCATCACTAATCTAAAACAAAGGTGGCACTTTTTTATGTTAACCTTAAACTCTAGGCCTTACTGGAAGCCACTGATAGGGGACACTTCACTACCAGATGTGTATGCAGTGCCACAGATGGTCACGTACACTGTGAGGCACTGAAATTTTGCCTTCAGAGGTTCTGACCAGATTGGCTGCTGAAATAGCCCCTAACTTTCTGAAGGCTTGAAGAGGAAAAAATAAAGTTTACATACTCTTGATGTGAAGTGCATTTAAATGTTTGTTGGCTTGTTGCAGTTCTATGAAACAGAGCTGTTAATAATGGTTATGTGGATTACTGTGATTTGAAAACTAAATTCACAATAACTTACCTAGTAGAGACTTAGTGAGTTGTTTCCTTTAAAGAATTTTACACTACATATTTTAGCAGTAAACAGGGATCACTTTTCCTTTAGCATTCAGAATGACACCACATTCTTAAATATACTCCTTCCCTGAAGCGTGTTTGTGTGTGATGCCATATTTCTTTTTCAGGTAAATGTAGTCTTCCTTATAAAAATGAAATTAAACCTATGCTCTCTCAATTCTTTTATATTCTAACAATAAATAAAAAAGAAAAGATTACTGACTGTGCATTGTACCTGTATTTATAGTTATGGTTATCAGGAAGCTCTGTAAGAAAGAAGAGGTCAGCCTCCTAGGCAAACAACTAGTGGAGGTTTTACATTTGTTTGCACATCTCAGTGTATTTCTGTTGAGGTAAAGTTTGCACAGTCATCTGACTTCTGATCAAACATTGGATTTTAACTTGTTTAGATTTTGTCCTAAACACCAGTAATATGGCTCTTGTTTATCAGCTAATCTTGAATTTATTCTGTGGTAAATCTTTGAGTTGAGTATATTTGAGATTGATTGGATTCAACCTCTTGTTGAACTGAAAACAATTTTTTTTTTCTGTATTTTTGTTACAAAGCCACTGATATGTGCACAATTGTAATTTTACTCAAGTATGTTGCAGTTGTAAATATTAGAGTTTAATCTTGTGCTCTACCTTTATTTAGCAATTATCTAATAGCTTTATAATTTTTAAAGATAATTGTTCTTTATTTTGTCAATGTTATTTGAACTTGGGGTACTTAGGAGCCTCTTTGTAGGGACTGTGCCTAGGTAGCATGTCCTAACATTTGTTCTTGTCTTGCATAACTTTAGTGATCTTTGTCATTATATGTAACTTTGTTGCTCTGTATGGCATAATATTGTATCCATAAACATGGTAATTTTGATACAGTTATACTTTTACAGTGGTACATAATCCAAGGACTAGTATAGAATTAAGCGAGTGCAAGATGAGGGAGGGAAGGGCTTTCTTGATAATTTAGATGTGAAACCTCTACAAGAGCTATCATGTAAAAACTACATAAGGTGGTTGTGCTACTGTATAATCGGGGGTGATAATACCAGGAATTTTAATAAGATTTTGTAAAGAATATCCAGAAAAGTAGTGAACTTATTTTCAGTAGACATAGATAACAATGTGAATATTTAAGGTCTGTGACTATAGTTAAACTTCACTAAGAATTTGCAGAATTGTTTTGAGATGTGGGAATAAAGGTAATTTTATTGAATCTTCATTGGTGCTAATGATGGACAGTTAAAAAGATAGCTAGTGTATATTGTTATGGGTCAGTACTTATTAGTACTTCCAAAATTGAATTTGAAATGCTATGTATTCACTTTTCACTCTGTAAATGTAATTCTTTACAATGACTTTATTTATTAAAGGGCAGCCAGTTGTCATTTTTACAGGATTGTGTGAGCTATTCAAACTCCTTAACCCCTGAACAGGATATTAAGCTTCCAGAATAACAATGGGAATAAATATGGAATCCTTTTTAAGTTTTATTTCCATTAAACAGAAACCCTTATAATTCATACTATCATGAATTTGTTTTATCCATCTTATTTGCATAACAGTTCATCTGCCTGGTCCCACTAGGCTCTACCAAAGAAAAAGACTCTGATGAGTGGACATTATTACTGTGACTCTTGTAAGTAGCCATAAATAAGCCAAAATAGAATCAAATTTAGGTATGAAATTCCACATGTGCAAAGTACTGTTAAGGTGATAACATTTTTGATGAGATTTAAAAAAAAATATTTGAAATATTAAAAAGCATTATCTTTAAACGTCCTATAAAAGAGTGAGTCATTTTTAAGTTGTGTTTTCCCTAGATCACTGATTTGTTACCTTTACACAGAAGCACGTTGCAAAGAAAGGCTTTACTTCTACCTCTTCCAGCTAGTTTTCCAATATTGAACTGTGTCCCTCTAAATATTTGCCTTAGCTATTTCAAAATAGATATTTTCAGAACCAAAGCAAAGGGGTGATTTGTTCACTGAAACATTCTTAAGAGGCCTACTTAACAGGCAGTAGTCTGTAGTGGTAAAACCTCACAGTTTCTTAATTGCAGGTATGTAAATACCAAAAAAGTCCTGTTGTCAGCCATAGATTTATCTTTGAAAGCAATTAAATGTGCACCTTGGTCTTCCTCTGTGCAGATTCGTTCTGGTTAAAGTTCTTATTCAGAGTCATCTAAAAGAAATTTCTAACATGATGTATGGTTTCTTGAATGTCATGAGTAGCTGCTTGTATTACTTTGTAGCAACAGATTGTATTAATATTACGTAGAATACCTAACTTTTTTGGCCTATCCTCTTTGAACTAGAAATGACTACTTGAGGGCTCTTTCAGAGAACCAATATGAAGTGTTTTTGTTAGTACCAAATACCCTTGCCTTAAAAGGTTTCAAGCACATTTTCCTTTATATTTGAGAACTTAAATTGCTGACTTGTATTCCTTAGGCAACCTTAGAAATAAACCACTGCTTATAGCTGCATGAATGTTACGCACTTCATGAGTACAGTTAGTTGATTAGATATTTCAGGGTTTTGCATTTACTATAGACATGATGGGGACTTTTTTAATGTGATAACATCTTAGGAAAACCTTCCTCAAGATATTACACGATTTCCAATTTTATCCAAATGAAAAGCATACCTGCTTAAATTTAGGATGTCTTTGCTGAGAATATTTGGAGGCTCTTGTTAGGAAGAATCGTGGATTCAGTATTTCTAACCTGATTACTGCCTCAGAGGCTGTCTTGGGAGGCAGTAGGATTCACTGACTACCTTTACCCAGATGAGGGATCAACAGATCTCACACTTGAATTAAATGAGTTGACAGGACAGTAGGTGCTAATTTCATGCGCCCTAAGATGGGCTTATGTAGACAGGAATTTTTGCATTGGAAAAGCAGCACATTCTCTGACCTTGGGTACCAAGCTATGATACTAATTTGAGAATCACATTCTGATACATTAATATCAGAAATCAGTGAGCAACCTAATCGCTGTAAGCTGACATATATGGAAGCTGAAATCAAAAGGTTGCTTGTTTTGTTAGTTTCCCTGGAGCATCTATCTTTAATACATCTTGCCAGTGGGACTGAAGAGCTCAAAATGTTTTAGGCCTAATACCATACATTCATTTTCTGCTCTGCAGTGTCAATTTGGGCACAGCCAGTTTTTGCCTCTGTGGCACCTTTCTGTAGTTTACTGTTACCTATTCTGCCTGACAGATTGCTTAAGTAGGTTGATAAGATGCATCGAAGATTGAATGGCTAGGAGTAATTCTGTTCTCATACAGGCAACTTAACTTCACTGTGGAATCCATTTATCTCAAAGTTTTGAGGGCCGTCTAATTTCCTTTATTTTCAAGTATGGGGCGGAAACTCAAAATCGCGAGCATTGCCGCTTTAGTAGCTTGTTTGATTTGCCTATTGTTTAATAACGAGTACATTCTTAGTAAGTGATGAGTACATTCTTATTTTTAAGGCATGTTTTGTTTTTTAAGCAGCTTCATTTTATTAGAAAAACTTCATATGTACTCATTTGTTGTAAACAGTGATTGTGGGGTTTCATTTTCTGAATGTACTCAAAACTCCCAACAATTGAATAGGATGTTTGCTAATAGAAAATCTAAAACAGGAATATGTGTATATGGCATGAATTAGTCATTGACTTTAAGCTTCTTATCCATACAAGGAACTAATAAAATGTGTTTATTGACAACATAAATCCAAGGCTCTAACATGTCTTGATGTGAATCAGAAGTAACTTGCAGGTGTGGCGCAGTGGCTCATGCCTGTAATCCCAGCACTTTGGGAGGCCAAGGCGGGCGGATCACCTGAGGTCAGGAATTCAAACCAGCCTGGTCAACATGGTGAAACTCTGTCTGTACTAAAAATACGAAACTTAGCCGGGTGTGGTGGCGCGTGCCTGTGATCCCAGCTACTTGGGAGGCTGAGGCAAGAGAATCGCTTGAACCCAGGAGGCAGAGGTTGCAGTGAGCCCAAGATCGTGCCACTGCACTCCAGCCTTGGAGACAAAGTGAGACTCCTTGACAACAACAGAAGTAACTTTCAGTCCCTGGGAAATGTGAGATCTCTAGTATAATTGACCCTTTATCCAAGTAATTTCATGTATCATTCAGGAGTGCAGGCTCTGGGATTAGATGGTCCATGCTCTAGTCTCAGCCCTACCATTTAATAACAGAAGGACTGGGTGAATTACTTGATCTCATGCTTTGATTTTCTTCCCTATAAAGTGTTAGTAGTCATACCTGTTCGTCATAGAGTTGTGTAAGGCTTGGATTGTCAAGGAAAGCTAGATAGAATACCATTAAAGAGAATCCTAATAGAGGGGTAGATTTGGGATACTGGATGGAATGATGAAGGCCAATCCAGGTGTGTAACTGGAACGTATTAAATACTGCATTCCTGCTGTGTCCAGAATTCTCTTAAATTGTTCATTCTGATTTCTGTTTTAAGATTTTCTTGTCTAACCTCTTGCATCACTCCCATAAAAAGCACAAATAATTGCAATTATCTGGAAGGGGAATTACCTACTTAAAATTTTTTATTTTTTGAGACAAGGTCTCACTCTCACCCAAGCTGCAGTACAGTGGTGTGATTTTTGGCTTACTGTAGCCTCTGCCTCCCAGGCTCAAGTGATCAGCCAACCTCAGCCTCCTGAGTAGCTGGGACTACAGGCATGTGCCACCATGTGCCTGACTAATTTTGGGTTGGGTTTTTGGGTTTTTTTTTTTTTTTGGTAGAATGGAGTTTTAACATGTTGCCCAGGGTGGTCTCAAACTCCTGGGTTCAAGCAGTCCGCCCACCTTTGCCTGCAAAAGTGCTAAGATTACAGGTGTGAGCCACCACGCCCGGCCCCTTCAAAAATATTTAAACATAAGCTGTTCTTTAATAAGGCCGCTCGCCAACTTCCCTCCCCTTCCCAGCAATTTCCCTGCACCTTCCACGTGAAAGAAAATGCAAGCTAATTGCAATAACTTTGATAAAGTAGAATTAGGATAGAAAAATCACTTTTAAAATACATTTTCAGGCTGGGCACAGTGGCTAACGCCTGTAATCCCAGCACTTTGGGAGGCCAAGGCGGGAGTCACCTGAGGTCAGGAGTTCGAGAGCAGCCTGGATAACATGGTGAAACCCCATCTCTACTAAAAAATAAAATTTAGCCAGGCATCGCAGTGCGTGCCTATAGTCCCAGCTACTCAGGAGGCTGAGGCAGGAGAGAATCTCTTGAGCCTGGGAGGCAGAGGTTGCAGTGAGCCGAGATAGCGCCACTGCACTCCAGCCTAGGCAACAGAGCAAGACTCTATCTCAAAACAAGAATAATTTTTAAAAATTAAAAATAAAACATTTTCAGCCTAAATGTAACAAATATTTTTTGTATCACAGTTAAGAGATTTGTCTCACTGGTACTGACATCAGTAAGGGCTTGTTCTATTATCATAATAAATTGGATGGGTTTTAACTTTACAAAGCAAGTAATTCAATCTAACCAAACTCATCCAAGTTCATTTGTGTATTCCTTCACCCCTGTCCCCTGCACTTTTCAATATAATAAATTGTATGTTTTTATTTTAACTGTAGCGTATGACCTGCCTATTCCTTCCCCTCAACACCACCTCCCAATACAATGTAGGGCCTCACTGATGAAAGATTTTTATTGTATTGCCATGAAATTAAGAATCTTACTTAGACCTTTCAAATGTTCAGACACAGTTGAGGAGGTCAGTTTTCTTTCATCTTTCACGTCAGCCTGTTAGTGACTGCCTTATGGATGAATTCAGCCATGGATTTTCATAATGTCATGTCCTGTCAGTAGGAAAAAGCACTATCCTCTATAAACTTGACAGTGTAATGGCATATACAAACTTTTTAAAAACTTTATTACCAGTAGAGATAGAAGTTGCTTACACCAGAGATTTTTTAACTGGCAGAATCACCTGGAAATATTTTTAAAATGCAAGTTTCTACATTTAAATAGCTGCTTTCAACTGAATTAAGTGCAGCTCGTATGAAGAATAAAGACGGCCTGGTAGGTGATGGTAGGTAGCTTTTGGCTGCTCCTTGAGCAGATTAAGTGGGTTATTATCTTGGAGCTACTCATTACACAGTGTATGACTAAAGTAGGTTACAGTTAAGGAGATGCTGTAGATCTACTTTTTAGAACTTGGGGGTTAAAATGTATTTGGTTGAGCTTGGGCCCAGAGTATACAGGAATTTAGCACATAATGTGAGTTTTCAATGTGATTGAAAACTCAGCGGTTGTGCCTGGTGAAAAGGGTGATGCTCATGGAAGGGAGGACAATATTACTGCTAAGTGAACAATGAAAAGCTTTTCACACCATTAAAGTACTCAAAATCAAGAACTGGACTGCTGTATCTATCGTCATCACAGTGGTATTTCACTGGACTCGGTAAAACTAGGATGTGACTGCTACCATTTATAAACTATGAGTTTGTGGGAGGCAGCAGGGAAGAGCTTTATGGGTGACAATCCAACTCCCACCTTGAGTTGGATAGCCTTAAGAAAGCTACCTCTGAACCCTGTTCTTTGTTTAATAAAGGAAGAATGATACTGCCATCCCAATCAGCAGCTAGAAAGAAGTGATGTGCCTTTTTCTGCCGAGAGCTCAGTGAATGCTAGCTATCCCAGCCCCAACCTACCTCCACTCCCAACATTCTTTCAGACCCTCTTCAAAAGGAAGAGAGCACACGTGGGCAATTATAATGAAGAGTGTAATTCCAAACAATTGGTCATGTCTTAAACACAGTGAATAACAAAAACACAGAAGCTTTGAGGACCAAGGCTTGCCTATTGAAAATTTCAGTTTCTTTTGCTTTGTTTTGTTTTTTTGAGATGGAGTTTCGCTTTTGTTGCCCAGACTGGAGTGCAGTGGTGCGATCTCGGCTCACTGCAACCTCTGCCTTCCAGGTTCAAGCGATTCTCCCACCTCAGTCTCCCAAGTAATTGGGATTACAGGCACATGCCACCATGCCCAGCTAATTTTTTGTATTTTTAGTAGAGACGGGGTTTCAGCATGTTGGCCAGGCTGATCTCGAACTCCTGACCTCAAGTGATCCACCCGCCTCGGCCTCCCAAAGTGCTGGGATTACAGGCGTGAGCCACCCTGCCCAGGGAAAACTTAAGCATTTTGAAGTTTCTGTTCAATATTCCAAAATTGTCTTCAGTATCCTTATATTTCAGTAGAATAGGAGTAAACTTGTTAACACCAACTTCATGTGTCTTATTACTGTGATCTCTATACACAGTATTAACATGTCTTACTCTTTGCCCTTTCCCCATAGGGTTTAACAGGCTTGATTATAAATAGTTGCTTTAAAATCCAATATAATATTCAGATTTGAAAGAATGCTGAAAATCCCTCCAAAATGGAAAAGGAATAAGCCCTAACCTTTCAAAGTTATGTTGTTTCTGGTCATGTTGAGATACAAGCAAGTAAAATAAAGGACATATTCTTCCCTTAATTTCTTAAATATGGAAAAAAAAGAAATTTAAGAAAAGGTATACCGACAAAGACTCATCTAATGTTACACGTCCAAAGTAAAATCTGTTTTTACCTCACCTGGACAGCATTTCACATTTATTTCATAAAAACTAAAGCAGCTTGGTTTTGACAAATCCTGATACTAGTATTAGAATACTCCTAAAGGTAATTTGTAGTTGAACCACCTTGAAATGATGGCAGCCAATAAAAATATCTGTGACTATAGCTTAGAGCAATAGGTGCTGGCTGGGCATGTTGGCTCACATCTGTAATCCCAACACTGGGAGGCCGAGGTGGGTGGATCATGAGGTCAGGAGTTCAAGACCAGCCTGGCCAAGATGGTGAAACCCCATCTCTACTAAAACTACAAAAATGAGCCAGGCGCGGTGGCAGGTGCCTTTAATCTCAGCTACTCGGGAGGCTGAGACAGGAGAATCACTTGAACCCAGGTGGCAGAGGTTGCACTGAGCCAAGATCACTCCACTGCACTTCAGCCTGGGCGACAGAGCGAGACTCCCATCTCAAAAAAAAAAAAAACCACAACAGTAGATGTGAAGTTTAGTGGATGAGTAAGATCAACAGCAATGGAAACATGCTTAATCCTGGCCGGGCACAGTGGCTCACACCTGTAATCCCAGCACTTTGGGAGGCTGAAGCAGGTGGATCACTTGAGGTCAGGAGTTTGAGACCAACCTGGCCAACACAGTGAAACCCCATCTTGGCCAACATGGTGAAACCCCATTTCTACAAAAAATACAAAAATTAGCTGGGTGTGGTGGTGGGCAACTGTAATCCCACCTACTCGGGAGGCTCAGGCAAAAGAATCACTTGAACCTGGCAGGCGGAGGTTGTTGCAGTGAGCTGAGATCATGCCACTGCACTCCAGCCTGGGCAATAGAGTTTAAGACTCAGATTTAAAAAAAAAAAATGTGTGTGTGTGTGTGTGTGTATATATATATATATAGCTTAATCCACCAACTTAAAATGACTTGTAATACTACTAACTCATCCATGCTCACTTTTGTGAGGTCTACTAATGTTCTGGGAATGGCAGTATTTGAAGGATGACCTCAACAGAGGTAACTATTCAGATGAAATGAGCAAAGGTCTCTGGAAAAATTTGTGTGTTGACTCATCCTTCCCTTACCAGAACTAGCTTTTGTCCTACCAACTGGTTTAGGCTTAGCTAGTTCTGCATATGGAAATAACCTGATTCACTGCAAATAGATAAAAACTTCAAATCGCTGGGCGCGGTGGCTCACGCCTATAATCCCAGCACTTCGGGAGGCCAAGGCAGGCGGATCACGAGGTTAGAAGATCAAGACCGTCCTGGCTAACACGATGAAACCCGTCTCTACTAAAAATACAAAACAATTAGCCAGGTGTGGTGGCGGGCGCCTGTAGTCCCAGCTACTCCAGAGGCTGAGGCAGGAGAATGGTATGAACCCAGGAGGCGGAGCTTGCAGTGAGCAGAGATCATGCCACTGCACTCCAGCCTGGGCAACAGAGCAAGACTCCATCTCAAACAAACAAACAAACAAAAACTTCAAATCACTACAAATAAATTGCAGAGAAAACAGAGCCCAAGATTTATGATGCCACCTTAACTAGCACAATTTCTTGGAGACATCTGAGGAGTTTAGGGGCCCTCTGATAATGAAATGCCGAGGCCCTCACCTCCTCCTATTAGGCCTTGAACCTCCTAGAATCTTTAAGGCTAAGATTGCTGCCAAAGTGCAGAATCTAGAATCTCTTTAACTTACCTTCCTGCCTTTAGTCTGCTTTGGACGAATTAAGTAAGCGTCTTTACTCACCAAGCAAGAAAATATAAGTTGTTTTTACAATTTATTTTAAACTAACATCATTAAAAAATTGACAGGACAGGCCAAAAATAAAAGGAAATGTCATGTAAAGCAGTAGAGAATGTAGTTCCTGGACAATCAAAACTGTAAACACTGAAATATGTTTTTTGTTGTTATTAAGAAACTTTCTTCTGATACTATAAGTAATCATGTCTGACACTTGAGCAGGCTAATATGTAACTGAAGCTTCCATTTAGTGACTCCATAGGATCTAGTTAAACTGGGTTAGACTGAATTTTCAGTAGGGAAACAAAGATCGCTTAGCCATCGTCCCCACAATTAAGCAATAAGGGAGCATCTGCAGTGGAACTGGAAAGAAACTCTTGATGTATGTTCAGTGACTTCTCTCCAAGAAGGAGTGCTTCAGGAGCTGGAGAGCAGAAGGTCGCTCATGCTGGTCCCTAAGAAGGGAAAAAAGAAGGGAAAAACACATTAGAAACAGCAGCACCCAGTAATGAGACTGCCAATGAGATCTACTTAAATGCAGACTTTAAAGATGGAAATACAACTTATGATAGTCAAACAGACTTGGGTTGAGTCCAGTCTCCAATTTTTAGCTGTGTGACCTTAAGTAAGTGACTAAAACCCTCCTCACCAGTAAGATGGAGATAACAATAATACCTAATTCATTGAGAGAATTGAATAATATATATACAACTTTTAAACAACAGCATAGTACTTGTTCGAATAGTGGTAGCTATTGTGATTGAAAACTAGGCCCTAATTTCCCATTGTACTTTTGTTCAATTTGTTTGGAGTCTAATTTACATATGGTAAAATTCACACTTACATTTACTTTTAAAATTTAGAAGCATTAAAATCCAGAATTGAAAAGACTTTTTAAAATAGATATTCAAATATGCTTTGGTGATTAATTGAAATAATCCCATTTCGGGCACTCCTGGATTAACATAAGATAGAGGGAGACAGTTGTTCAGTACTATTGTGGCATAATTTTTTACTTCAAGAAATTCAAAAGATGTTAGAAAGGTATCAGTCAATGAGCCAGTTAATGAACCAATGAGCTAATGAAATAGTCAATAATTAGCTTCAATGGCCTATTCCAGAGGCATTCTTTTGGTTAAATTAGCTATCTTTTGATATATTTTTTTCAGATACATAAATATTTATTAAGGCTTTAACAAACAGGTAACTTCCCCTACCCTCCACCATTGTGCAACCACTTTCTTTATTGATATATAATGAGTATTTATCATTTCTATGTGTCAGGAACATTTCGAGTCTGCTTTTCTAGCTGTTTGAAATACAGAATACATTGTTGTTAATTAGTCACCCTGCTCTGTTATCAAACACTGGAATTTATTCCTTCTATCTAATTATGTACCCATTAACCAACCCCTCTTATCCTCCCTGCCCCACCACATACACACCCTTCCCAGCCTCTGATAACTATCATTTTACTTTCTATCTCCATGAGATCTACTTTCGTAGCTCCCACATAAGAGTGAGAACATGTGATATTTCTCTTGCTGGGCCTGGCATATTTTACTTAAGAAAATGAACTCCAGATCCATCTATGTTGCTGAAAATTATAAGATTTCATTTTTTTTATGGCTGAGTAGCATTCTGTTGTATATATATACTAAGTTTTCTTTATCCATTCATCTGTTGAGGGACACTTAGGTGGGTCCATACCTTTGTTATTGTGAATACTGCTGCAATGAGCGTGAGGATGCAGGTATCCCTTAGAGATAATGATTTTCTTTCCTTTGGATAAATACTCAGTAGGAGGATTGCTGGATCATACGGCAGGTAGTTCTATTTTTAGTTGTTTTTTTTCTTTGTTTTTTTTTTGTTTTTGAGAAATCTCCATACTGTTTTCCATAATGGCTGTATTAATTTACATTCACACTCAACAGTACATGAGTTCCCTTATCTATACATTCTTGCCAGCATCTGTTATTTTTGTGTGTTTTTAATAGTAGCCATTTTTAACTGGGATAAGATGGTATCTCCTGGTGGTTTTAATTTGCATTTCCTTGTTGATTAGTGATGTTAAGCATTTCTTCATATACCTGTCAGCTATTTGTGTCTTCTTTTGAGATATGTTTCTTATTGGATGAACATTTTGCAAATATTTTCTCCTATTCAACAGGTTGTCTCTTCACTCTGTGATTTCTTTTGCCTTAAAAGCACAGGTGACAAAACCAAAAATAGACAAATTGAACTATATATTAAAGAGCTTCTATACAGACCAATACCCTGGAGTGTTTCCCTGTGTTTTCTTCGAGTTGTTTTATAGTTTTGAGTCTTATGTTTAGGTACTTAATCAATTTTGAGTTGATTTTTGTATATGGTGAGATAGGGGTCTAGCTTCATTCATCTGCATATAAATATGCACCATATATTGAAGAGGGGGGTGTCAATTCCCTGGTATGTGTTCTTGGTCCCTTTGTCAAAAATAAGTTGGTTTACATATGGGACTTATTTCTGGGTTCTCTGCTCTGTTCTATTAGTTTTTATACCAATACCATGCTGTTTTGGTTACTATAGACTTGTAATATATTTTGTATATATTTTGTGTATATTTTGAAGTGACATAGTGTGATGCCTCCCGCTTTGTTCTTTTTGCTCAGTATTGCTTTGGCTCTTTCAGCTCCTTTTTGGTTCCACACAAATTTTAGGACTGTTTTTTATATATTTCTGTGAAAAATTACATTGGTATTTTGATAGAGGTTTTATTGAATCCATAGATGACTTTGGTTAGTATGACCATTTTAACAATATTGATTCATGTGACCCATGAACATTCGTTTGTGTCTTCAATTTTTTTCATCAATGTTTTGTAGTTTATTTCATCAATGTTCTGTAGTTTTCCTTGTAGAGGTCTTTCACCTCCTTGGTTACATTTGTTCCCAGGTATTTTATTTTCTTTTTGTAGCCATTTTAAATGGGATTGCCTTCTTGATTTCTTTTTCAGCTACTTCACTGGTATATAGAAACACTACAGATTTTTGTATGTTAATTTTCTATCCTGCAACTTTACTGAATTGATCTAAGAGTTTTTGGTGGAGTCGTTAGGTTTTTCTAGCTATAAGATCACGTCACCTGCAAAGAGGCACAGTTTGACTTTCTCTTTTCCAGTTTGAATGCCTTTTATTTTATTTTATTTTATTTTATTTTTGAGATGGAGTCTCGCTCTGTCACCCAGGCTGGAGTGCAGTGGCACAATCTCAGCTCACTGCAAGCTCCACCTCCCGGGTTCACGCCATTCTCCTGCCTCAGCCTCCTGAGTAGCTGGAACTACAGGCTCCCGGCACCACACCCGGCTAATTTTTTATGTTTTTAGTAGAGATGGGGTTTCACTGTGTTAGCCAGGATGGTCTCTATCTCTTGACCTCGTGATCTGCCTGCCTCAGCCCTGCAAAATGCTGGGATTACAGGCATGAGCTACCACGCCCAGCCTGAATGCCTTTTATTGTTTCTCTTGCCTAATCACTCTGGCTAGAACTTCCAATACTATGTTGAATAGGAGTGGTGAAAGTGGGCATCCTTCTCTTGTTCCAGTTCTAAGAAGAAAGACTTTCACCTTTACCGCATTCTGTATGTTGTTAGCTGTGGGTTTGTCATATATGGCCTATTATATTGAGGTATGTTCTTTCTATGCCTAGTTTGTTGATAGTTTTTATCATGAAGGGATGTTGGATTTAGAAAATGCCTTTTCTGTTTCTATTGAGATGGTCATATTGTTTTTGTCCTTCATTCTGTTAATGTGATGTATCATGTTTATTGTTTTGTGCATGTGAAACCATCCCTGCATCACTAGTATAAAACTCACTTGATTATGGT